TCAGCCAAATCGGAGGGGGTCGGGTTCCGAGCCTGGCACAGTTGACGTGGAATGACCCAGAGCCAAGAATCATTTTTTGCTTCTGATGATTCAATATCCGGGTAAATCTCATCAATAAGGTGTTCGACTGAATTAACTGCGACACCAAGAGTTTCTGACACGCCTATCATACCATTGGCATCTCCAATGTCACCATTACCTATAGGTATATTTAATAGCATATCAGCAAACTGTTTCGAGGCACTCTCTTCACCTAACTGATGTACCCTCATGTTGATTGTTAGGGACCTTTTCTGAACAAATTGCCAAATGTAAGACCGCTTTAGACATGCATTTACCTCATCAGCTCTTGTGCCTCGCGAAATAACAGGTAGTGTTTGTCTAAAATCGCCTGAAAACAACATTGTAATTCCACCGAAAGGACTGTCGACACCAATGATATCACGGAGTGACCTATCCACTGCCTCCACCGACTTTTTATGTGCCATTGTACTCTCATCCCATACGACAAATGAGCATTTCCTCATCAGATATGCCTTACCTGAATTCTTCGTTATACTGCACATTAGGGTGTCCGTGCTATTGAGGTCAATTGGTATTTTAAAAGCAGAATGCGCTGTTTTCCCTCCTGGGAGGAGGGTAGGTGCTATACCTGAAGAAGCGACCGCCAACGCGATGTTGCCATCACTTCGTAATTTAGCTAACAACACGTTAATTAGAAAAGTTTTACCTGTTCCACCTGGGGCATCTAGAAAAAATGTTACTCCAGAGGAACTATTTATGCTTAAAAGTATCTCATCGTATAATGATCTTTGTTCATCCGTTAATTTTATCAAGTTCTCTGCGACAATTTTTTGCATTTCATTCTGATCATAACTGATTTCACGCAAATACTCCTGATTCAGACCCATATCGTCACCCTTTTGTGGCGATGGTAACCCGTAGCTGCTCAACGGCTGACCTCCAACTGATAAAACAATTTCTTCTAATCTTTTCAGACACTCATTTTCTACCCATCTGCTAAATATTGGAACAGAGCTATCAAAAAGTCTTCGGTGACCATACATTATGTCCTCCGAAAGGCTTTCTTTATACTTATTCCATAGAAACATGGGATCAGAAAGTCCACAAAATACTAACAACGTGGAAAAAAGATTTCTCATTTGACTCAGGCTATCACAAAGCTTCGCCTCCGCGAGAGTGTGATGCCAATTTGAATCATCTTCTAACAGTCCGAGTGCATTACACGCAGACTGATACGTCTCAAATTGAACACCGTTAACGGTCCTCAATGCCTGGAATGACGTTGGGCCGTGAATATGGTGCAAAAGCATGCGCAAGTAATAGCACTCTCTGTTAGCGGGGTGCACCGTGTAAACTCGGCCGATAACATGCTCTCGTTTAACACCAGTCCATCCCTCGACGGGAGAACCCCTTTTTTCTTCGATTGAACAAACCTGATTGTTTATCGAAAGTGTAAAATTCTGGGACATTTTCGTATAATAATGTTTCTGAAAACTTATCATTTTGACAAAGCCTAAAGAACTGCCAAACATCGACGGACCAACGTTTCTTAAAAGAAGACTGATCATTCATGCCATCC